AATTAATTTCATACCTATATTCTGAAAGCTCTCATTTTTCTGGAAATTTTGACACCAAAATCATCTTTCTACGACAAACCGTTGAGAAGTTATGCTAATTTAAAGGTTTTGACTTTGACCCCCTCTCCCCCTTTTCCCTGGGGGTTAGGCAAAAAATATGACCAGTTTTGAGTGTCTGGGAAGACCCTCTATCATTCCTGAGAAAATCGTACGATTCCGTGTTTAGGCCGATTTGGCCGTTTTGTTGTAGGGTCCTTTCGATTCAGGGCGCGAAGGGCTTGAGAATGCTCGCTAAATTTAGTTAGAAATTTCGAGATGGAAGTCGAGTAATTCTTAATATCTTCCATGTCGAGTAAACAATTCAGGTGATAGGAAACGAGTCTGCGTTCATTTTGGTAACGCTTCTGGAGTAAGTCCCAAGCGATAACATAATTCGCTGCCGAAATTTCCAAACCCTTTACTAAACTTAACGCTTCACCCTCGAGCACGCTCAACAGAAATTGGAATTTTTCCACTGCCGTCAACGTGGCAACGTCGTGGACTGAAATGCGGAAAACATTTGAGAACGTTGTCCAATCTTCTGTTTTGCCCGAGAAGTGTTTTAGCTGTAACCGTGGGAGTCGCACGTTACCCGTCGCTGGAGCTGGGTTCACAGGTTGAACCGGTGCTGCGTTGACGTCCGCAGGTCGCGTCGGTACTCCGCCGAAACTTTCAAAGATAGCCTCAACTTCGCGAACAATGTCTTCGAGCGCGATGCTCTCGCTAGTGACACTGAGTTGTGCCTGCTTTTCAAGATAGGTATTTATCTCCATGATTTCAAACTGGATCGCCTCGAATCTGTCCTGAAGCGCGTGAAGTCTGTGGAGCATTGCTACGTAATTAGCATAGTTTTCCTGAGACAATTTTTTCGCCGTGTCATAATACGACTGAGCACAAGCGAAAATACTTTCTCGTTTTTGTCTCGCAACTTCTAGGCTCCTTTCAGCCTTGCTCATCGTTGCTTGACCTTCGACAGGCATCGTAATGGAGATCTCTATCTAGCTCTATAAAAAGGAAAATGTGAGAAACAGGACTATTTTCCAAAAAACTGGTTGCAAACTGTTAACCAGTATCCGGCCCGGAGGACCAAATGTCGGGTCCGGAAAACAAGATAAACGAGAAAACCTAACATACGAAAAGCATCACCACGGCATGGCACTTCGTGGTGGCATGTCAGGGTATGTACGTCCTGACGCAGCTCGAGGAATGAACGTCTCGAGGAGATCTCTCAGGGAATGGACGTCCTGAGGCAACTCTCTTTCTAGGGAATGGACGTCCTAGAAAGGAGAGAAAAGGAAAAAGACAAGGAGTCGGCTTACTCTAGGCGTTGCAAGAACGGAGAAGCTAAGAACGGGGGAACTCTCGTCGTTGGCCTTCTACAGAGCTGATCGCAGACTGATCGCCGCCGCGGCCACTCTCCTGACCGTCGCCGTGGGTCGCTGCGTGCGCGTGGGCTTGCGCACTGGTCACTTGGCGCCTGCGCACAACGACTCACGATCAGGAGTGGGGCCGGCAACGGAGTCGCGGCAGAGCGACTGCGACTGGCTGGCGATCCCGCGCTAAAACTAAGCCAAAAACTAAAGAACCTCTTTTTGGGCGTAAGACCCAACATTGAGGGATAAGGATAAGGAATCCTGCAATGCCTGTCATCCAAAAACAACACCATTAACAAAACTGATCACAACCTAGGAAATTGCAGTAAAATAAAATTAGATTGATTTGTAAATAATTTTTTGGGTAATCTATTTTCATTTTGGTTCGATGAAAATAACAATTTTGCTCTTGATAAATCACAATTAGGTTATTTTTCCATTATTTTTGTTTACATTCGAATCACCGCCATCTTGGTGCACTCTTTTGTGACTCCATGAGCGAGAATCAATCAGGATTTGATTTTTTTTATGCCACTTTTAGCCCAACCAAGCCCGACCAGAATTGAAATGTCGTAACTCTAGGTATAAAGAGACTCTAGTTTGAGCGACTTTTGAGCGACTGGAACAGGCTATAGACTGATTTGGTGGCTACGTCACAAGGTAAATGAAACGTAAGCACGTGTCCCACGATCAAATGAGCCTATGAAATGCAAGATGGCGGAGATGCGTACTGAATTCCGCGCAATCACAAGTTGGCGGGCCGTCGTTTTATTTATTTTCTTTCTACTATTATTTTTATTTTTTTTTTCTCATTTTTATCAACAGGAGACGGTCATATTTGTTTTCAATCAAGATGCAAAGTTGTAGAAATTCAAATTTCGCGCCACTACTCTACCGGCGAGAGCCGAAAGTCAAGTTCTGGCCGAATGGACTCACTTAGTCTTACGTCACAGCCAGCAACGATTCCTTCGACTACGGTCTCGGGTTCCAAACAATTGGCTGTCCTTGTTGCACTAATGGCGTTTCCCCGTAAGAAACGACTTTCAAATTTCAAAACGAATTTTCGACCTTTTAAACGCCGGGAACCACTAAGGTCACTCCTAAAATCGACTCTAAAGTGTCAAAATAGGGGGGTCCGACCTTTGAAACGCCTCAAATCGACAAATTTCACCTGAGTAATCGCAGTTGAAAACAGGTCTAAGATCATCAGTCTGTCTCTCTCTACGGCCGTTTAGCTGTATACAGACAAGATTGAGGTTAGAATCATCTTGAATTTTTACATTTTTCTCGTTGAAACTCATGATATTCCCTCTTAACAAGTATTTATCAAAAAAAGTTAGTTTCCAGTATCATCAAACTATTTCTATGCGCTCATAGATCGACAGAGTCTTCATTAGTGATGAGTATGGCTTCGTGATGAAGCGTTACCATATTACATAACAGCATTTTTTCAATCAACGCTCAGTCTAGCCTTAATGCGGTGATTGTTGTCAATTTTTTCCTCTCTACTGCACGACCTTACGCTCATGAACGGAGACAGTAAAAGAAAAGTGATGACTTGACTTTTTCTTACCCTGAATCTCATGGTTTTGTATCTCTGTCTCCGAAATCATCGGGGGTCGTCTTGCTCCCCAGCTATGCAGATTTCTTCAGATCGCTCGCTCAGCCTGCCTCCGATGTGAAGTCTAATCATGCTTTAGTTATCACCAGTAAGATCCTCTTTGCTTCAGCATACTTAAAAGTGTATTTTGCAGTTGGAAAATACAGTGTTTTTCTCGCAGCGTCCGAACTACACTTTTCTCATTTGACGGCTAACAACCCTGGTAAAAATGATCAGTTGACGGTGTATCAGTTTGTCAACGGTGTTTTGGCGCGGAGCATCAGTAGACATCAACTGAGATCGGGTCAGTTGATGGCTTCAACTGATCTAAACTGATAAGTGGTGGCAGTTCGAAGTATCAACAGATCTGAAATGATACTTGGTTTCAGTTGGTACCATGTATCAACTGATAAGACATAAATTAAAAACGCACTATCTGCTTGTGTTATTTTACGTATTTATTCAGTTTCTCACGTTTATCTCACGATTTGACGACCAGAAAGTGCTACTGGGAATTACCGTTCTCGTATTTCTGACACGAGTTTTAGCAGGCAGCGGTCATTCCCAAACGGTCTCCCATCTAAGTACTAACTACGCTCGGCGTTGCTTAACTTCGGTGATCGTCCAAGAGACAGAGCCACTACTCTATCCGCGCATGCGATCAAAGTGGACGTATTTTTGCCATTTCAGGGCCCCTACTAGAATCAATTTGACAGAGAGTGATGATTTTGTATTGAATTTGAATCTACACTTAATTTTTTCATTTTATTTTTTAATCACTTAAAATGTAAGTGAAGTTTTACAAGTTATGTTTTCCTTAATGATGAGACTAAGAAACACAAAATGCGAAACCAAAAATAATAATTAAAGATGTAAAAAAAGATGAAATGATGAAAAATCAATAATCAACTTATAAGAACTTGAAAATAATCATGAAAAAAATTTGAAAACAGATAATTAAATCTATATTGCGGGAGGGTCAAAAAAATTTCATTAACATATTTATATGAATTTAATGTGAAAAAAAAATTGATCAAGGTAATTTTATGTGTTTTCGTCACATTCTTTTCATATAATTTTTATGTGTAAAGTATGGAAAAAATTATTTTCGAGTCGTGACCGTTGAAGAAATTGATATGTCTTTATATGAATTTTCAGTTAAGAAAAAAAATGATCGAGATAATTTTTATGTGTTTTTGCCACGTTCTTTTTGTGCAGTGATAAAATTATGTTTAAAAAAAGGATCAAGTTGTTGCCGGTAAGGAAATCATTTACTCAAATTCATGTAAATTTTATATGATAAATGTTTAGTCTCCTCGAAATCACATCTTTTTTCTTTTTAAATTTTTTGATATGAATTTGAAGTGAAATTCATGTACCTAAACACTTGATTTACCAAGATTATTTTTCTTCAGTTTTACGTTATTTTTAATATATTTTTTACGTAAGTAAATGTTATTGTATTTTCCAATATTTTCACGTACTTTTACCAGGCGTGAGGAAAAAATTGAAAAGATGTACAATTGATTCCATGGTTAACGCCCTAAGGACATTTTTACGTAAAAAAGATAGAAATGTATATAAATTTACGTTTTTTTAAACGTGAAAGCGTTCTAAGAGCCGTCAACCATGGGATAAATATTACATGTTTTGTATTAATATTTACGGCTTATTAAGAAAAAAAAAAGGTTAAAATTTATCTCTTTTTTGTAGGGGGAAAAAATTCTTACTGGGGATGGTATCAACCAAATATAGTATCTAGTAATATGAGATCAGTTACGATGGGAGCGGCTCAAAAATTACACATTATACCCCCTTTTACATGGGGGATTCTCCTGATCAAAATCACAACACATTGAAGTAGGCATTGCACAGAATTTTTGGTATAAAATCCATGCTCCCGTGCCGACAAACCCATGGAACTGGTGTGAAGGACCGATTTTTGTGTAACAGCAAGCAGCGCTGGGTACCCACCTACGTATTGCACTGTCCTTAAACTCCTCCTTTCTTTAGCAAGTGACATAATCTTTGAACGGCCGTAGAATTTCAAATAATCAGCATTAGGTATTCGAGATTTTAAAACCATAAAATAATGCATTAACCTACCGTAGAAAAAAATTGAATGGAAAAGGGATTAAAATAATATAAATATCTCTATTGATGTAGTGGCCCTGAAGTCTAGATGCCTTGATGAAGTGGCCTAGTGGGCCTTGTCAAACATGCCAACCAGATCGTCCTGTTAAAATGCATACGTAGCCTCATTGGACTAAGTTTAAACTTGTAATTGACGTCTATTGAATTTCTGTTTGGATGAGTTGATGTTCAACAGATGTCAGTTCATGCTGGACCGATATCAATTGAACCTCAAGTGATACGTAGCAAATTTCAACTGTTACCTATTGAGGCTCAACATAGATCTATTGAGTATAATCTGGTATCAGTACAACCTCTACTGGTACCAACTGTTACTCATCAAATATCTGTAGACTTTCAACTGGTATCAGTTGGTAACCGTCGATATCAGTTAAAATCAGTTAATATCAGTTCATTTCCGCTACTGATTATAACTGATATCAACCTATCATTTTTACCAGGGAAGAGCTCATAATGTGAGCGACTGCACAGCATAATAGATCAGATCATCCAGGACGTCATCATGCTTTTCCAGAACTCTTGTCGTTTATAAGATTAATGGGCTCCATTAATTAATGTGTAACATTGTTGTGGAAAAGCGCATCGATAGTAGGGGTGTTCAAACGAATTCTTGCCGGAACTCTTTCGATATCGTCTCTTATTGAAACTGGCGGCAGTACCGACAGTGGCGAAGATTTCGACAACAGCCGGCCTTATCGGATTTTTGAGAGCTCGCACTCAATGCATTCTTGCTCCTTGTGTCGGTTTATCAGATTGCCTTGCGCGGCGGCGGGCGCATGAAATAGATGTACACATGGCAACAGCTTATTTTCGCCAGCTCCGAAAACTCTGATCGCTATCGGCAAGAGCGCTC